ATATATATATATATATATATATATATATATATATTCAACAAACAGGAGTTATATTTATTTAATACCGCATATGCGTGGTTAAAAAAAAGACCTCAACTTCGGATTAATGCACTAATTTACAATACTTTTAAAAGAAAGATCTTAGGACAGGATTACTAATAGCATCGATAAAGTTTGTCACAGCTCCTAATGTTTGAGGGACAACACGGGGCATAATCCGCACATAATTTTCAGTTTTTTGACTAGATGGAATTGTACGTAAATAATCTTCAGCAAAATTGCACTAGAAAAGAAATAATGTTAATTGTGGTTTTCTAAAATTTCTGTATTTCTATTCGGAGTATTGGCTTTCGAATCTTTCCTTCCAGAAATTCCAGATTGTTGCAGGTGGTATTTTGGAGTCGTTCAAACGACGTCTGAAAAGCCAGGCTGATCAATTTCGGCGTGCTTGTCTTGGTGCAGCAAATCAGATTTTTTCACCGACAAATTTCTCACCGTTCCAGTTGAAATCTTTCGCCGATTGGCTGGCATCGCTTCGTTTGGCAAGCAGAAGTCCTTACCGAAAAGATGCGCCGCGTGAACGAGATTATTTTAATCTACGAAAAATGATTGTTGTCTCAACCCTGAAATCCATTGTTTATGGTCAGTGATTTTCCATCATCGCAGGAGCACATGATTGCCCAGTGCCGAATTTTAGTGAATTTCAAAGTTCAGTGCATCGGTTGAATAGGCGCCGGTAAGCAAAAAGTTAAATATTGTAGAAAAAATTGGCCTACTTTTTAGTATATTTTGCATCTGCATTCGCTACTTGTGACGCAGGAAATGAAGAAATTCCGGAAATCTACTAGTGGCGATCCCTGATACATGCGACTGCCAAAGTTTCAGGAAGCCCAAAAATTGCTTTTTCTGGACGAAAAATTTCGACGGATACTTCTTTTAGGATTGCTTCTATTTCGTTATCCCATTCCACTTCGACCTCCTTGTCCCACTCCTCTTTGCAGGCATCGATAGCAGTGATGGCACGATTATTTGGCATTTGTATTTGGGCCGCAATATCAAGCCTTTGCGCAGCTCACTGGGCGACGAGAAGATTCCTCTGTACGTGCAACGTACCACAGCACACTACCACTTCTCGCCGGTGGCTACAGTTGTTGCTGCTGATGAAGTAACATTTATCAGACTGAGATTTCTCACTTGTGAACATTGGTTCGAAGCTCAGAAACGCTTCTCAAACTGTACTTTTTTTTTCAGAGTACCGGTCATACAGTTTTGATATCATTCGATCCGATTACTGGTACCGTTTCGGAACGGAAAGTCCTGTCTGTACAAGTGAAGCGCATTGAACTTCTTCCATATACTAATCCCCACACACACAAACACCACCTTGTTATGCTCGATAACAATAACCAGGTAAAATCCATTGCGAATCGGAGCACATTTTCATTAAGCGCCTTCCCATTTTGCATAATTTTCAGTTCTAAAAGATTGTTTGACATTATTTCAGGTAATCTTATATCCGGAATATGATGGTGCCATGGAACAGCATGCTCCCGTGTATCTTTTCAATTTTAATACAGCTGGGGATTTGGAAGGCTTCGCTTTGAATGTTGCCCTCAGAAAGCTGCTGCCAGTCTGGAAAGTGAAGCTTGGTTTTTCAGCTGAACAAAAAGTGGTTGCCGTTGCTGCGAAACCATTCCACCGTAACTCTTTCTCATTCTGACCTAGTGCTCATTCATTTTTACTGTGCATTGTGGAATAAGTGCAGAATACCTTCCATTAATTCTCGGATTTCTTCGCTTCCTCTGTTAATTCCCCTGCGTTCATTTAAGAAAAAGTGCACAGTGCTGGACGTGTATTGGGCAATCGTTCCGTGTTGTACAAATATGTTAATCCGAATTTGGTTGCTGTAGCATCACATGACCCTATCCATTCACTTCTGCAAATTCACCTCGTCGATGCTGTATCGGGATATATTGTGTACAACGCTAAGCAGAATAAGGTAAGTGTGTGCCTTTTGTTTTTGCATACTTACACACCCCTGGCACCTCAGTTTTGCGGCAGAATTCGTATTCTGCACTTTTTCATTGTTACAGATAGCGGGCCCTGTTCATTTGGTGCACTGTGAAAATTGGCTGGCTTATTCGTACTGGAACGAAAAGGGCCGACGCATGGAGATCGCTGTGGTGGAGTTGTACGAAGGTCTCGAACAAACTGACGCGTTGCATTACAACTCGCTCACCCCAACACTGATGCCAAATGTTGCTGCCGTTTCGCAAGCGTACATTTTTCCGCAGGGCATCACAGCTCTTGGCGTTACGGAAACTGGTTGGTGATTTGTACTTATAGGATCTTGAAGTGTTGTCACGGTAACCCT